TGAAAGTCCTTAATATATGAACTGGGTGGCACTCGCTTGGCACAGATAGGTCTGGTTCTGAGGTTCAGCTCATCATTTGGTTTTGTTACAGTCAGGTGTGGAGATTCATTACTTTCTGAAAGTAATAGTGGGACAGGTAACATTGGTGGTTCGTTGGTTGATGATGGATCTTGGTGTTGTACTGGCTGATGATGTATTGGGTGGGAAAGGTCTGGCAGTAGCACAACAGGTCGAAAGGTCATTGATGTCACTAGCCTTGTTCAGGCCTGGAAGGCTATTGTCAAGATTTATGTTGCAGGTATCTTTGCTTATCTTACAAAGGAAGCAACGATTTCAGAGTATGGTTCGCTGGCTACCATCAACTAAAACATGATATTGTTTATATGGGAAAACTTCCATGATCATGGTGATATTATTCCAACAACGAGGGTGATGTCCATGTTGGTTCTGAACAGTCACAGGTTCTGAAGTGCATCATCACAAAGAACATCAGCCACAGCGGTTCGCTTGATACAGATGAAGTGGCAAAAGCACTTCTGCTCCACCAAAACACCCCACCACCTGATTTAGATGCATCACCAGCAGAACTCCTGGTCGTCCCCTAAATGATCAACTACCAAACCCTGTCCAATTCCGTCGAGAATAGCTGGAGCTCGCTGATCTATGCGAGAAAGTGATCAACCATGGATGCAACTAAACATGTTTATGACCAACATTTAAACCCACACAAGGTCGGCTGAATGCAACTGAGTCCGAAGTTTTATTGTCAATAACTCCAAAACAGTAGATTTTATCAAAATTTAATTGTTATTTTTGAGTGTCAATTTACACAGAAATATAACGATTTGGGAAATTTTTAATAGATATTTAGAGTGGGGCTTAAAAAGCAAATTTACCCATTTAGACAATAACATTTTGTTTTCCTCAAGTTTGGCGTCTTTTTCATCATGCTATGCTCTTTTTTTTAGTGATTCCATGGAGGTACCTAATTTTATTGTATTTTAGTTACTTTGGATTTATAGCCTTACTTGCAAAGACTCTTGTTGGGGAAATGTTAGAAAATTACCAGTAAATTTTTAATTTACTATAGTTACTGCTCTTATTTTCTGATAATGTTGTGTATTGACATCCGTATTTACAAAAATCGGCATGTTCATATACACACACAAAATCAAAATTCCTTTTTAAAATACTGGTGAGCTGCTGAATTGTAGTAAGCTTTTCCATATATGATTAGTAATTAAAGTTTTTAGTTCACTTGACACCTACAAATTAATACATAAGTAACTCCATGAGATCGCTAAAAAAAGAGCATGATGAAAAAGACACCAAACTTGATGAAAACAAAATTTTATTGTCTAAATGTTCATGTTATTATTAAGAGGAAAGATCAAAGTATTTTTGGGGTATTTCTTTTACATTTTTTAATTGTTCCTAGCACATCCGAAATTTCTTGTTTTGTTTGAGTCATCAAAATTGGCAGATAATCAATCATGGCAGCCCTTTTTTCCATTTTATAAAAAGAACGAAAATCTCACTTTGAAATTATTTTAAAAATCAATTATCATTTTTTCAAAAGTAATTTTAAGAAAATCAAAAATTATAATGTTTATTTAAAATATTTTGAACCAAGCTTAACTTAGCTTCTGTGCCGAAAAGATGTAATTTGAAAATAAAACAAAGCATGTCATAACCTTTTGCGTCACTTGACAGGTAACGAAAGACATTTTCATGATGTTTAGATAGCTTACGTGAGGATAATTCCTTCTACAGATGGAGAGAAGTGAAGTTATTTAGATTTAAGTGAACAAATTAAATGCCTCGTTATTTTTAAGGAAAACTTTCAGCACTCTAATTTTTTTTTTGTACTTATCTTTCACCTTTACATTTACGATGCTTTATGGAAAATATACTATAAAGAAATTAAAAAATAACTGTTAAGACTAAGAGTGAGATTAAATTTCATAAGAAAGGTATCTAATTAATTTATAGGTACCTTTCTTATGAAATTTTATCAGAAGTGTACATATTAAAATACTATAATTTTATGTACATTTATTACATTTTACTGTGTTATTTGTATTTCCATTCATTTTATTATTAATTTTGAAATTTCATTTATGGAAAAATGTCCAGAACTGAGAGATAAGATATTTCATAAGATGATACTGATACTTGTAGGTACCCTTCTCAGTTGAAATTGAAAATCAAATTAACTTCTCCACACGTGTTTCGCAAAAGTAAAGGTCTTAACAGCAGAGAACAATGCTTAACTCAAATAACGCAACTTGTATTCTGGTTGGTCTTCCGTACTTTATAATTACAGCCCGATTATAAACACAAAATTACATTTCTTAATAACTGCGGATCTTTTGATTAGTCAAAAACGATACAATTTGCAACACGCGTCCTCATGAGATAGATCATTTTTTAGCCACTAAAAAACGATCTATCTCATGAGGACGCTTAGGAAAGCTGATGCGGCTTTTAACTAATTTTAACAACTTAAATGTAAAAATCTAATTAAAGAAATAATAATAAATACAGAATTTTAAAAGATTTTAAAGTTCATACATTATTCTAATTAAAATTTGAAGGAAAAAAAATCGTAAGACAATAGTCTCCATAATATTTTAAAACATTAAGCCCTACAAAAAAGAATTTCTCGATATTTCATAAAATTAAATATGGGCGATAACATGTATTTTTTTTATCAAGATTTTCTAGACACATTTAAAAAATAATTTGTAATTAATTCCTAAAATTTTCCTTAGAAATGCGGCATTTATGTGATTTTTGCAAGAATTTCCAAATCACCACAAAAAGACGCTAAAATTTCCGATACAAAAAATATTATTCTTCTTAAATTTATGGTTCCCACGTTCCAAGTTGATGGAAAAAAAATTACGTAATAAAATCCTTTGTTGGTCTCTCCTAAAAATTTTGATTTTTAAGTAACGATAAAACTTTGACATTAAATTTGAAGCATTTTTTCATTACGTGTATGCTATTTTTTTTAGAAAAATCTTTGGTTGGATGTAATGTAATTGTAATACATAATAATTGCAGAATCGCCTCTTTACTAGCTTTCGCCTAAAAACCTTTTTTTTTTTAAAAAAAGAAAAGAAAAAAGTTTCCAAAAGAAATAACTAAAGAGCTAAATAAACCACAAGATAATATTCAATTTTTTAGTTTGATTGAATCTTTACCACAAATAAACTTTCACGGAATCGTTTAAGAGAACTATTTGATTTGCCTGAGGCAAATTTTGCATCAACACGCCTTCAAGTGATGTCTTGATCCTATAATTCTTCATGGAACGGTGAGGTCAACCAGAGTCCAGGTCCATTTAGAACTGTAGTGTAAAAAACTAAACATACTTTTGAGTACACCAACACGCAAAGAAAATTTAAATGTAAAGCTGAAACAGGTGGAACTTCAAGAGGGTTGAACAGACAGAAAAGAAAAAGTATGCAAGGTGATTTAATAAAGAGAATAATGTGTAAAAATGAAGAGCAACAAAAACAAAATTTAATAATCTTTTTAGTGTGCGTGATTTAAGCATTCATTTTTAAAGCTTTATTTTGGTGAAGAAATTGAAGTTTTTTTTCTTTAGGGTTTTTCAACTTAACGATATCGAGAGCACCAAAATAACTTCAACACCAAACAGTAAGGTGTTGAAGTCAGTTTGATTATATAATTCAAATAGCAATTTAGCACCAAATTATTTTTTTTAAAATATAACTTTTGTTATTTTCGATTTGTGTGTCTTTGTGTTGAGAACCAAGCCACGCATGAGATGAGAACTATGGCTACTAACTAAAAAGGAAAGTTAATTAAAAAATTAACTTTTTTTTTTTTTTTTACAGTTTTACTTTTTTTAAATGAATAGCTTTACTTTTTGTAAGTTGGGGGGAGATCTAACCAGAATTCCATAACCATTGAAAAATATGGATACTTGAAAAAAAAAAAAAAAAAAAATAGAGAGTACTGAATAAAAAATGTAACTTTACTTACAAAACAAAAGTAAAACAGTTTTTTTTTTTTTTTTTTTTTTTAAACAGTACTGATTAAAAATAAGTTTTCGTACCGGTCTACATGAAATGTACAACGAACGAGTCACATTAAATTTAAAATTGTGAATTTTCATAATTTTCCTCACACCCTCATCAAAATTCAACGGAGATCTAACATATGTCGATTTTTTTTTTTATAATATGGACCCGTAAGTCAAGTAAAAAATCTGATTATCGTTTCGTTTGTTAATCTTAATTTGACACAAGTTCGCAAATAAGAAGATATATAGTATCGTTTCCTTTGTTGTGTAGTACCTTTTTGTGTTAAATAAATAAAAATACTGTTGACAAAGTTGTAGTGTGTAAATAAAATGTGAGGGAATTAGTACAGACAGGTGTCCCGCCTAAGAAAAAAAATTTCTTTCTCAAAAAAAAAAAAAAAAAAAAAAAAAAAAAAAAATATAGTAAAAATCTTTCGCAATGAAAATAATTTGAGAAATTTAAAGACAAAATTATTAACAATCGACAGTTTTTTTTTTCTTTTTAAATTTGAACTAAATTTTTTTTCGCAGTGAGGACACTGAAAATCAGAAGAACGAACAGCAGTCGTTGGTTTTTTAGGACAATTCTGTGAAAGAAGTAACACAAAAAACCGGTTGACTTTAGTTTAAAATACGCTTTTTACCATATAATTTTTAGACTAAAGGCAACCAGTTTTAATTCAACGTAAGATGAAAGTGTAAAAAAGTGAAAATGTAAGAAATTAGAAAACAATTTAGTCGATTTCCAGTTGTGATGCCATTTACGTGGCTCTTGCTAATAATGCTGGTTAAAAAATCATATTGTACAAACTGATAATGATGATAGTATTTTTCGAAAATAAAACTCGATAAACAACTCACAGCCATTCGATACATTTTCTATATACGTAAAAAAATAAAATGTTCTGTATTTCAAACTCAGCAACAGAAACTTATACCTCACCTGCTGTCGCTTTCCGACTGTAGCCTTCGTTATTTCTTCCTGTGAAGACAGATCTCGCAAAATCCATTGTACAAAGGATTTAAATGTCCATTCAATAAAAATACAACAGTCAAATAAATGATTAGGACAGATAACGTTTTTATGTCATTATCGTTAAATGTACAAATTATTATTCGATATTATCCATATGTGAATTGTAGCTTAAGGGCGCCATAATACAAAAAGCACGATGAGGTAAAACTAGTGCAGACGAAAATCCGGTCTATATTTTTATTAAAATTGTTAATCCCAATATCAGATATTATGTTAAAAAATCATTTATCTATTGCTAATATTTGTAGAAACATAAAATAGAATACAAATAAAATAAATCTTTGAAAACCGATGTTTTCTATATTTTTTAATTTTTTTTTTTTAATCTCGGAAGAATAAAAACAGTTTTACTAAACAACACACTGTTGTCGAAGGACGTCTCAAGGGTTCGAATGCTAACTGTTGTGGAAATTAAATTTAAAAAATTTCGTATTTATCATAAATTTAAAAAAATGTATTTGGAGTAGCATCAAAAAAATTTTCCTTATAAAAAATCGACGCAATATGAATTTTTTTTTTCGTTCCTAATAGCAGATGGTTGATTTTTTTTTTTTTTTTATTGAAGAAGAAATTTTTACCGCTTTAAAGAGTTTTTTAATTGTTATAAAGAAAATTTATATATATAATTTTTAATGGCACATAAAAATGCTAAAAGTGCGTGTTTAAAATTAAAAATAAAATCATCGAAATAGTAACAATGTGTAGTATTACTTGTAATGCATTGCTAAAAGTTTTCTTTTTAATTGATGTGTTTCCATCTAATTTTTACGTTTCGAAGAAAAAAATGCTAAATAAAAATTTCGTTACCATAGAATGATGTCTGAAGCAAAAGCAAACAAACATTCACAATTCCCCAAAAACTTAAAGGATGGTAGAATGTATATACAAACCCATAAGCAATTTTTAAAGGTAACGAATAAAATAAAAAGGTGTTTCCAGGACAGAAAATTTTAAAAAATGGTCACTTACTTAAATAAAATAAAGTATCAGTACGCAACGATTTTTTTCTACACAAGCCACGAGGACCATATTTACATGCGTATTATATTTTTTCAGACACAGTTCAAATGTCCACAAAGAAAATGAATAAAGTTCGTATTAGCGTTCTTTCTGAAAAGAAAAGAAAAATATACAATTTTTTTTTCTCCAGATAGATAGCTGAAGAATAAAAGGTGCTCAAACTTCTTTACTGAAGGTAATTCTCTTCGCAATATTCAGCAACCCTGTGGAGATTGGCCTAATTTACTGATGTTGTCTTCTCTCTGGTGTCTCCTTCACTTTCAATTAGACTAGCTCGGAGGTAGCTATTTTGAAAATTTTTATTTACAAAAATTTAGAATGTTAGACAGAAAGAGTGAAAAGACATCTTCAGTAATAACATATTTGAAGATGTATTGATATTTTGGACGATACGCGTCTGATGACAAGGAAAACAGACGATAATTCTTTTTGACACTCTTTTTTTTTTTTTTTTTTTTGGTGGTGGTAGGGAAATTGGAAGCTGTAGATCGATGACTCCTTTTAATCAGAGGATATTACCCTCTCAGAATTTTTTTCTTGACCGATTATTTAAGACGCTTTGTCTTCTGGCTCCGTGGTAAACTAACTTAGTTTGCCACATAAGATAGCATGTTACTTTGAATGTTCGCCTTACAGTGCCGAATTATTTTCATTAGATAGATTTAAATTATAACCTTATAATTAGTACTATCTGATTTCATTTAGGGATGGAAAGAAGGGGTGGTGAGTTTTTCGTATTGAGCGACTCTGTAGAAAAGATTTTTTATTAGCTTCGGTAGAATTCCGAAGCTAAAATTTGTTTACCATTTACTATAACCTGAGAAAAGTTATATTTTGATTTGACTTAAAGAGTAAGACCTATTGAGGTATTGGCGCAAATGTAGATGTTTATTAAAGATAACAAAGGTACTTTGTGGCTTAAGTTTTTAGATTTGTTACAACTCTGTAAGAGACATTTATTTGGAAGAGATAATTTTATTCCCAAGAAGAGGAATTATTGCCTTTGATTTATTTGTATTGTTGACTGGGCGAGTCAAGGTTTTTTTTTGTTTTTTAAACAGAGTCGTTCGATGCGGGGAATTCTGCCCTATTCTCGTTCTCTATTTAAAAAGTAAGATTTTAAAATATTTTAGATATTTATTTTAAAATTTGACTTTAGCCTAGGTTAGGCGTTGTTTTCTATTTTTCCCTTTCAGCTCCAAAGAAAGAGAAAAAGAATTTCTGAAGAAGAAAAAGAAATGTATCTGAAGAAATTATTTATCTTGTAGAAGAAAAGAATTTATTTGCAAGTTTTTTATCTGGAAAAAATAAAGAAAGGTCAAAGAAAAAGATGTTTAAGTTGTCAATATAGAATAATAATTATACTTTCTTTTTATTGACAAAATTATTTATGTAAAAATAGTAAATCTTTTTTTGTTTATTATTGTTTTGTTGCTGTATATGGAATATGCATGAAATTGTTTTTGTGTTAATAAAAGATTTTATCTGAACTTCAGATTTTGGTCTTATATTTTCTATAATTATTATATTATTATTATTATTATAATCGTCTGCTTCGTTCAGTCATTTTGTTTTTTTACTTTCCTGTGAAGAGGCCGAGAACAAAATCGGCAGTTTTGAAAAAATATATATAAAACTTAAATTAAATTCTAATTAGACTTTATTATTTTTAAAATTATATATGATATATTTTTTTCTTCAGACTATTTTTTTCAACGTTGTTTCAAAGTAAGAACCATATCAGTAACCTTGTTCTTTGTGAATATATAGTTAGGTTTAAAAACTTGAATTGATGTCAGCATCATATGCCAACCTCACAGACAGAAAAAACTTCTTCAAATAAATCACCTTCTCATAAAAAATAAAATATATCGCTTTCTCCTCCGGAGAAGCTACAAAATAAGTAGCGACATTTTTATGTAGTCTCACAAATAAATTTGGAATATAAAAATTCCTTATCACTCAATAATGGTAATGATGAAATGTTTTTTTTTTTGTTTTTTTTATTAGAATTTAATTTGAGAACCACTACTACAATGTTTTACAAGTTCATGTTCTAGCCTCCTTTCTGATCTTTGCTCAGACTTTTGAGCAAGCTTTTATGAACGCTTTTTTTTCTTCTTTTAAGTTAAAGGAATTTTCTTCTCCCTTTTTTCTCTCATATTTTGTACATATACCTTTACCTTTTTGTGTATGTAAATAAACATTTACTTTACTTCTATTATTACACCCCAATAAGAACAAGAGTTTGCTGTTTGAGTCTTTATTTTTCGGCCTAAAAAGAGAGATTTGTCTGCTATAAAGTCTAAAGTAAACTTTCAATTCGTTGTTGCGTTTATCAATTGTTACTCTCATAACCCTTTCATGTGGGGAAAGCTGGGACAAATTTCCCACATTTTAACTCAGAACTTGTCCCAAGTTCTTAGTTTTCAAAAAAAATTTCTTCCATCTCAAAATATTCAGCATAAAAATATACGTCATTCAATGATGGAGAATTTTCTTGGGCACCCATACTTTCTTTCTAAAAGCGCACGTATTTCCCCAGACACCCAAGGGGTGTCTGAGCAGTCAAAAAAAATAAATAAATAATTTAAAATCTAAACGATCAGAGGATAACATGACCAGATAGTAACAGCAAATAACTTACCAATTTTTTATTATGAAAGAAAAAAAAGAAAATTTCTTGACATTTTTAAAAAGAAACACTAATTTGCATAAATTATTAAAAATAAAATATTGGTCAGCTTTCAATGTATTTTTCTTAAATTAATTTCTTAAATTGCACCCCACTTGACTGTGCCAAAACACCTGCGGGGGTGGGGCGCTCTTTAAGCCCATGATTACCTAACCCTCTTTTTGGTCATTTTAGCTCTGATTTTCAAATGTAGTTGCATGTAGATAGGAATGCTGCCGACAAGCTGCAATCGCTTCTTTAACCATCCTTTGACTTTTGTACTCTTACACACAGGTGTCTATCACACACGCAGAGACAAACAAGCACATTCTTCTTATAACTTGTTTTAATGTTTTTCCTGCCATTACAATGGTCTACATATGTAATTCCTTTTATTAATACATGCATTGTCGTTTCGTTTCATATTCATTGTTTTTGCCACTCCTAACAACTGGTGACCACAGTGTGATATTTTCTCCTAGATAAAAAAAAAACACACACACACAACTATATAAACAAACTCAATTGTGCATCATTTAGACACTTTTCAATACTGAGAGCCAGTGAAAAATCATAATTACTACTATGACTATAGTAGTAATAATCAGCAGGAGATGAACACTTTATATCTACTGGACTGCCATTGTTTAAGTTTAACCCTTTCTTTCTCTTAGGTACAATCACGCCTGATTTCTACTACCAGTAGCAGACATGACTTAAAAAAAAATTCACCAAAAGAAAAATATGACTTTCGTCTAATAAGTTTGAAACACAACTCATTTTATTCAAGGATACCACCTAGAACTCACAAATAAACCTATGCAGACCACACAAGAAAATACCACTGAAACACGGATCAAGTCTGTTATATATTGGCCCAAGATGTGTAGTTGCATCCCTTCGTCTTGAGTGACTCAGTGTGTTGTGTTATCTGTCCTTTACCCTTAGGAGGCATCTTTTCGTGGTACCTAAGAATAAAGGGACATTGACAAACGGCTGCAGTGTTGGACGGACGCACATTTCTACCCTCTTAAGTAAATTATGTCTTTTGTGGTCTTTATCAGTTTCAGCATGTTTGAATAGTACACTACAATTTGCGACGAGTTAAGTGAACGATGATTATCAGTAAAATGCAGTAACAGCGTCGGGGGAATAACTCTGCAAAGCGGATTAATGGATTGCTCTGAAATATGGACAACGAAATGGCGCTTCTGCAAACAATGAAGGAATGGGACCAGTGCGAAGGAAGAATGGGTGAATTAAGTTAAAAGAATGAAATT